AGCAGTGTTTATGAAAATTCCGAAATCGCTTTTTCAAGTTCGCACAGAGATCTTTCAATTATGCGTCACAGAGTTTGCACAAGTTTCCAATTGGTCCTTCTCATTTTAAAGCAAAATCAAAGCTCTAAATTAAGAAGGACCAGATCATTCCACGAATAAATATGTTGAGCTAGATTTCAGCGACTTTGTATGGCTAAGCTAAATGAGTACAATTGAGTTGTAAGGACAAATCAAAAAAAATTTTTCTTCTGGGTAGATCAACTATCATTATCTGAAAGGGGTTCTGAGGCACCGCTGTGAAAAATAAAGTGAGTGGGTGAAAGCGTTAGGTTGCACAAACATACGAGCAGTCAAGTCGAATACAAAGCAAGCTTCCGAAAAATGCAACCATGTTTTGCGCAGTGACAATATGCATTTGTATTCCTTGAAAGCAGCACAAATTCAAAGCATCTGACGGGAGAAGTAGTCGAAGACGTAGAGCGAATCGTAAAAAATGCTACAAGTCCCTGATGAAGGAAGAAAAACCATAAAGAAAAAAGTAGGTGGGTTCAGAAAGTGACGCCATGCAAAATCCTTTTCTTTTAAGGCCACGCTAAGCATGTATTCTGTTCTATTTCACTCCAAGCATGTTTTCTTCTTGAAGACGCAAGTCATGCAGTATCATGCACAATGATGTAGCTAACATCAGCTCTTGTGAAGGTAATAGGATATCGCTTTTCATAGTCAGATTCAGTTTTTGACGGATTTGAGTCTTTCAAAAACCCATTTCAAAAAAATGAAGAGAAGCTAAAGCTTGATAGACGAAAGTCCAAACAGCTTTGATGAATCATCCAACCTCATCTTGATGTTACCTATCTCTGCCTTATGATACATGGCATTTGTAAAGATATAGGTGTGACGAGAGTAAATGACATGCAGGTTACAAGGGACTTATTTTGATTACCAGTGCGTCACCTCTGCTTCGCAGAAGCTCGCACTGGCCCTATTTTCTGTATGCCTTACTCATTCCCGCATAATAATGACATTGAAACTCACCGCGCTATGTAGGCTATCACGAATAATTCGTAAGCAACTACTCATTTGTAGAGGTTTTCCATGTGAACTCGGTATTTTCGTGTGGATAAAATCTTTTCCAGAAGAACAGATGCAAATTCGTATAGGTTTTTGGAATTTTTATGGCTTGGTAGTCGCCGTAAGGACAATAAACATAGTAGGCTACATCTCTGTGCAAAAATCTTCTCAAATGATCAGGTAAAATCTTGAAAAATTGGCCGTTTACACAGCGAATGCTTTTTGGCGCTGTTTTCGTAAAGTAGTAGGCTTTTCACTACTTTTTTAGGCTAACGTCCATGGCTTGCACATTAGCTTGTCAAATACATTCTTAACTCTGCAAAAAGTAGTACTACGGACCCAAATTTGCTGGCCAGAAGCCAAGTGGACCCGTTTGACGCGCAATTTTCAATGGATCCACTCAATGAATCCGCTCGTGCTTTCTCAGACAACCGACCGGAACTTCCGCAGCGCTTTCGCAGGATTTCCGCAGGTGACCAGGCGGAAATCCTGCGAAAGCGCTGCGGAAACTCTGCAATCTCAGGGTACAGGGTTTTCGCAGTACTTTGTTTGGAGTTCCGCAGCACTTTGCGGTTCGCTTTTGATTCGCGATCAGTTTCTTCCATATCAAGCTTCCTTTTTATTACTAAGTTTTCCTTTCCAGTACTAGGTTTTCGCTTTTTACTGAGGCATTATTTCTGGAAATTCCTCTAGACTTTCTAGATGCTAAAAGACGTAGACAGCGAGATAGTTTCAATGAGAAAGCAAATGGCACAGTGTATTGTTTTATGCAGGTACCATATAGAATGACGATAAGCCGAAGTTGATAATTGCAAATTAACATAGCAGTGAAGTGTTCATAAACAGTATACATAAAATCACAGAAGCATTTGAGTATATATGCATAAGTGAATAAGGTTGGAAAAAATCGGCGAATATTAGGAACCAAAAAGCAATGTTATACTGTCGGAAGAGTAAAGAATAATGGAATAAGATAAAAACAAGAATAACAATCTCATTCACAAAGGATAATATGCGCTTCAAAGGGAAGATGGTCATGTGGGGAAATAAACCGTTTCCACTTATCGGGTGTCATTTTGACCTTGTCCGCGCGACTGAAGGCGGTTTCGGCCTCCTTTCCTCTCTGTAATGAGAATTATGAAATTTGTTGATGTTAAAGGCAGTGTCCGGAAAAACTCGATTTTGAGATTTTGTGCTTACTTGGGCCTATTCGCTACGCTGAATCCGAAAATGCACATTGTAGAGCGCGAAAATGGCGAAAAACGGCTCTAACACAGGAGGGAAATTAGCAGGTGGGCGGGGCCCTCCCCACTGCGAATTCACGTTCCCGGCTTCCGGAGCGACCTTCTCGCTTCCGGTTTCAAGTCAATCATTCGCACTTGACCGGTAGCGATGTTAGGACGGCTAGCGGAATCGAGAAAATCGCTCCGGGAGCCAGGAGCGCGAAATCGCACTGGGGAAAGCCCCGCCCACCTGCTGATTTCCCTCCTGTGTTAGGGCCCTTTTTCGTCGTTTTCGCGCTCTCCAAAGTGGATTTTCGGATTCAGCATAACGAAAAGGCCCGGGTAAGCACAAAATCTCAAAATCGGGTTTTTGCCCGGACACTGCCTTTAATCGTGCCGTGCCGCAAATGTTCCATTCAACTTCTTCGCCAAGAAATACGGAGCAAGTTTTGACGATTTATTTAAAATTTTGGGAAATTTCGGAATCTCAACAAGAGAAGCTCTGAGACAGATTTGAAAATTACAACAGTTTTCTGCAAAAGTCAAGGCTTTACTTCGACTTGAATTTTTTTGGAATTTATAAATTTGGAGCAACAGAACTTTTGTTCAATATAATATTCCAGCATTTTCCACACAAAACAGGTAAGTGTCAGACTCTAAAGCAGGTATGTATAAGTGAAAGTTACTATAAATTATTATTGAAAATTATTATTATTTGAATTATTATTATTTTCATGAATTGACTTAGAAAATAATAATAATGAACCAAAAGCTCGTCCCCATCCTTTTCAAAACTTCGAAACTTTCTTCCTTCACATGCGATCTGCACATGTTTATTTTGAAAGAAGACATGTTCTTTTTAATGGTACCTGAGGCACTTTTTGATAGCTCTAGAGATCAAAGTCGGTGAAGACAATTACTCCATTTTAATATTCCCCATGTTTGGTCTCAAAAATCTGCTTGCAGAAAATCGGAGCAATCATATCATAGCTATTATTACCAGGGTTGAGCAAGGGGTCAGGCGCAGCCCGGTCAAAAACGACCCCCCCCCCCTATAGTCGTGCTAGATTACGACCCTCCCCCCTTCCCCCCCCCCCCCCCCCGCCGTGGGGTTAATCACGTTATTTTCAAAACTTATCGTTAGTACCTTTGTGGAGTTGTCGACTTCCTGTTAAGCTCTTTTGGAGAGCGCTAAAGAAAAAGAAAGCAGCAAAAACACAATGGACAAAACAAAAACACTAAAAGCTCTCGAAAACTACTAAAAACTTTTAAAAAAGTATCTTTCTTTTGGCTGTAAATATCATGGCATAGGACAAAGGCAAAGTTCCACATTTATTTTGCTGCAAAAGCACTTCAAAAATGAAAGTTTACATGAAAAATTAAAAGAAATAAGCCTCAAATGATGTGAGCAATGCTCGCACAATTCTTTTTTCCTTCACGATCAGCGGTTCAATGAAAGGTACAAAGAGGTCGAAATTTACAGCCCAAAACTTTGAAACAGCACTTTGACAAATGGGATGAGGTAGACGAGGGTGGGCTGTGGCCCCATTGGCTCGATCGCGGACGAATCGCGGACGAAAATCGCGCAGAATTTTCTGAAATGCAAAATTAGTAAATGATGATTTTCATCAGAAATCTGCTAAAATCAGCACTTAAAGATAGTGAGCGAACTACAAAATGATCACATTATATTTGCTGCAACGAAGAAAAAACTGGCGCAGCGACTATCACGACAAGCATACAAAAATTGTAAAAAAAATCTTCACAAGACTATTTTTCCATAAGGAAAATGCAAACACGTTCAGATAGTAGATGTCAGTGAATCAAAAGACAAAGATTGAGATGATGCTGCATCAAGTAGGGAAAAGTGCTTAATTATATCGGACAGCTACTAACGAATGCGGAAAATATTTAATCGCTGCCTGGGGTTACATCGAGACGCAGAAGGATGAGGAACCAAAAGAAATCGTTCAGACCGCGCACAAAGGCGGACGAAGGCGCACCAAGGCGGACGGAGGCAGACGAAGCCGCACAAAGGCGCACGAAGGCGCGTGTGAGTGAGTGTGCGTGTCGAGATAAACGAGACGAGACAAGACGCGCCTTCGTGCGCCTTTGTGCGCCTTCGTCCGCCTTTGTGCGCGGTCTGAACGATCCCAAAGGGGGACTAAGAGCAAGATGTGATAAACTCATTCCGCGTTCTTCAGCGCCTTCTCAGTGGTATCATTTAGATAATCCAAACACTTCCTAATACATTAGTAGAGACCTCTGGCTTCTGGTGGACTGAACCCCCAGTATTGAGTTTGAGGAAAAAAAGGAGTATTAAACTCGATGAAAAATTCAGATTAGCTTCATATGTAAGTGAAATTGAAGTGATATTTGTAGAGCAAAGAAGTAAGATAAACCGAAATTGCACAATGATTACCAGTAGATATCGCGACTTTCTTTCTCGGCTTCTGTGAGCAAAATGAAAGCAGAGCGTGTGTTGTCGTGATGGAAGATTTTCATAGGAGAGAAAATGCGTCCCTGACGAGTTAGCATCAAGCCAGATCCGATTTTACCAAGAGATGGAATCTGCAAAATGTAAATGTAAATGTAAAACAAAAGAATGAATGAAAGAAAGAAAGAAAGAACGAATGTAAAACAAGAGAATCACCTAGACTGAGAATCTTGCATACCGGAGAGCAGATCGCGTAGTTCAGCAGAGCTTCAGCATCCTTTTACTTCAATCTTTCCCTTCCAAGACATGTCAACTACACCGCATTTGTTCGTTACCATCTGATACTCCCGATTGAGCGTAGATAACATGCCTTCCTCTTCGATGTCGAATGCTTGGGCTACCCAATAAGAATACGTTGTGCAATTCGACATGATTGGCAACCGAAGACTGATCTCCCATCCATTGCGCTTTATCCGTCTTAAACCGACCGTAAAGGCCACTAACGCGATCCGTAGGCGTACCAGCATGACGATTAGTGTAAGACCAATTATAATACATCGAGTAAGTCTCTTTGCTCTTTTCCAGTATAAACCTGAACAGATCTATATTCTAAAATGCAGAAGAAATCTGCTGAGATCTCAAGCCAATATTGGCTTACTGTGAATGATTATCTTAACTTGCGTCAGTATCAAACAGCTCTTCGGCGCGGGTTCTCCGTCAACCATCCAATCAGCAATATACCTTGAAAAAAACTCATTCGTGCATTAAGAAATGAAGCAACAAGGAAGCCTTGGTAAAAACAGGTAGCCTACTTTCCTATCCCACCGCCGCTACTTACACCATCAGGGAAGCCAATAGGAACCCAGTAGTTCTTGTCAAATGGACCAACCTAAAACATCGTTGTTGCAAAACAAAAGATCAGCCGCAATCCATGCCTTACCAAAGGATATCCATCAGCAGTCATGCTGAATACAGCTGCTTTGGCGTCAACTTTTGCATCCGTTAAAGAAGGTACAAGTGTGCAAGCACGCTCGTAAGCCTCTCCCACTCAATCAAAGTCTGGTTTGGTAGCACGCGAGCCCTCTAGAATAAAAGAAAATTTGTGTGACGAACCATCTTCGCCGACGAGGATTTGCATGCAAAATTACCACTAAAACATTTGCTAAGCATAGGTTAATGTGAATCATCAAAGACAATAGTAAAACTAACCTTTTATACTCGACTTGGCAGTGATTCACAATTCAGGGAAATGTTCTTGTTTGTACTCATTTCATTTGCAACAGCAGTACCAAAATATCCAAAGCTGAGCAACCCAAAGCACCTGTAAACAGCATGATTTACTTTTACCACGTGATCTCGTGATTGACGCAGCAAATTTATAGGTGGCCAACACATCCATGTGGAGAAATATACTGTTCTCGCATGTTAGCAACATATTCACGTGGAAAAGAAAGGTCGAAAGCCCGTAGTTGGAAGCGTACAAACCGCAATGCTAAATTACGAAATAGCCTGCACCAGCTACGGAAGTAAAAGAAAAGAGAAAAATGAACATGCCTACTATTATTTTATCATCGCTCTCCTAGGGAATGATTCACGTAGTAGATTAAGAAAATATTAGAATGCGAAGAAACAGAGCGATGATAAATTTTACAGGGATGATTAACATTCAATCGGACACGCATGCAAAATATAAATTGACGGATTATATAATGTTCAAACAGAGGAAAACCAATCACTTATATTTGGATGCATTATTCGGAGTTTAAGATTTCCTTTGGGCACGTTGAAGGACATTTTCTTGCACAAAAAACGTGCCCAGCAATTCCGTAAGATCGAAGATGGCATTTTCTGCTTGCTCCATTAGACACGAGCTTTCAAAACGATAGATTGTCGCATGCTGAAAGAACAAAACATTGCTAGGTCAAGACCTCAAGCTTAGACTCGGTATTATGCCAGACAATGTAGACTAAACTAGGTTCGTACTCCAACATCAGCTGTTTCCAGAAAGCAACAGCTGATGTTAGAAAAAGAAAAGAAAAACCAAGAAAAAGAAAGTAAAGATTTACAGTGGAGCGGCCCGCCGGCGACGACGAGTAGATGGACCGACCGTTCAAAAGATGAAGATTGCCGCGTTTCGCAATCTGCAGAAACATTGCACGGGATGCGTTTTACAGTAGGACGAAATTAACGGCCCAAAAACGGCGATCGGTCTTCGGCACATGGGTAAAATTAACCACTGATAACTTTTTCGAGAGGTGATGAAATTGGATAAAATTTTGGCTGTGGGGAGAGGAACGATGAATCAAAAGTTTGAGTGGAAAAGTGTAAAGTTTTGAGTTCTTTGAAGATAAGTTAATCGGGTCAGGCGCAACCCCTCAAAAGCTCAGGCGGCCTGAGCGAGGGGTTGCGCCTGACCCGATTAACTTCATCTCAAAATAAACTTTTTTGAATAAGTCTTATGTTATTCATTAGCACGGATCTCGTAAATCCCTTATTAGGTGTGCGAAGCAGATTCGTCTCGTTTTGGCTTTTTAGGAGCTCATGCAGTGAATCCAGTCGAGATGAAAAACGCCATTGTCGAAATTTTTTGGGGCTTATAAAACCATTACTTTGAATTGGTTTGAGACGAAATTGATAGGGTATGTTAGTGAAGAGTAATACTTTGTAACAAGTGTAAAAAGGTTGACTTTTATGATCGCTGAAATCAAGTTAGTCATGCTTGAAAATAGCGCCTTCCATACATTAGAGAAGATGGAAAATTGTGATAGGAAATTATATGAAGGGTCCACAAAGGGTCATTTTGCATCCTGATTACGAAAATAGCCTTCACTTCGCTGGTATGAGACCTGGTGGGGTTACGGTAGGTATACGGTAGGTTGGCAAGGTCCAGTCAGATCAATCTAACTCTGCTGTTTTTGTACCTTTCCAGTGCACTGACAACAAATTTTATTGCAGAAGAACTCGCCAAAATGTCTATCTTTTCCGTCGGATCACTCACAAAACCAGAATGAAGAAATATTTTATTACGCAATCAGTGTTAATGTGTATTTAATTCTTTATTTTTCTTTATTAGCTCCAACTTCACAGAAATCAAGCAATGAGTTTGTTCATATACAAAACCATGACTTTTGTAATTAAATCCTTTGTGCAGTCGTACAACTGCAAAGAGCAAATTCAGAAAAGAGTTCATTCACTGTTTCTATTCAGCAATTTTCCCATCTTAGTTAAAATAACCGGAACTTAATAAAGGCAAACCCCGGTAATGAAGAGGTATGAATTCCTTACCAGTGCACCTGCAAAAGAAGTGCTGCATTTCATATATCGTCGATTCAAAACACGCAAAGACTGGGCGCCATTGCGTACGACCAAAATAGCTGACGCTTGGGAGAGGCAGAGGTGGTAAGAGGAAAGAAAGAGCGTTTGATCCCAGAGACGCCGATACGTCCGCAGTCTTTGCGCGCAACGAATCGCCTATAGATTGGACAATTTATGATCTTACCCCCAAATACGACCCCCCCCCCCGGTTCCACCCTTGATACGACCCCCCAGGTCAGGCGCGCCTGACCCTACGCTCAACCCTGATTATTACCTACTCTTTTTCAATGTACAAAGATGCGCTGATTGAACGTCTCTTAAAAACTTATGGTTTTTGAGGAAGCCGTAAAAAAGAGTAAATATGATTTTTTGGCATTTACTTCGAAAATCATAAGTTTTCATAAAGAGTTTCGATCAGCGCAAACTCGGCACAGTCAGAAAGAGCAGGCTATGTATAAAACGTATAATGCTTCGATTTCCTTTGCGAGTTTCAGTTTTGCGACCAAACGTAGAAATTTTAAGAATGGAATTTTTCTTCTCTGGCTTCTATCTCTAGAGCTTGCTTCCATTATAAGGTACTTCAGGTAGGAAGATGTAGGAAGTATTTGGGAGAGAGAAAAGCATTTGAAACAGCAAAAACAGAGGAGTAGAGAATTATAGATACCTTGAAGCAGTGGCGGTGCAAGAAACTCCTCCAAGGGAGGGGGGCAAAAATTATTTGCGTTTGTGGGCGTGAGGCACTGAACAAAGGGAAATTTAGGAATGGTTGAATTTTCGTGGCTTCAGTTTTTGTAAGCCCTCGATTTTTTTTAGCAAAAAGGGGCCTGGAGTGAGCCACACCTTCGAAAATTGCCTAGACAAACTACTTTAGAGTTTAGAAGAGCTTTGATCTTTCATTATCTACAGTCGCAGACTACTATGAATATTCTTAAGACCCATTATGCCCTCCCTCTTTCTTTTTAAATATTTCTACCACACATAATTTCTATTTTATTTAATCATTAAACGCTATTTTTTAAACATTTTAATCTCGAATTTCCGAGCGTTTCGAATTTTTTATTTATTAATCAAAAATTATTATTTTGTGATGTGTGCGGTATTGTGAGAGGGAAAAGATTTGAAAATCAAAAGCAGAAAGGAGTAGAAAAGGATAGACACACGAAAAGCAGTTGTGGCGCGAGAAATTCATTTAAGGGAGGGTAGGGGGGGGGATTGAAACTTTTGGGTTCGTGGGCGTGTGGCCACTTCCAGCAAAAGAAAATTCAGGAATGGTTGAATTTTTGCGGTTACAATTTTTGTACCACCTCGATTTTTAGCACAGCTCCTTCGAAAATTGTCCACCATTATTAAGTGGGACCAAAAGTACGTTCGCCAGTTTTTCAAAAAAAAAATCATAATTTCCTTTTGACTCGATGGATCTCTTTGCGTATATTGTGAACATGGATTTTGTGACTTCCTTCTAGCTGGGAGAAATTCGTGCCAATCGAAAGAAATTTTGATTTTCGTAGAAAGTCAGATCCGAAAACTCGGTGATATTACGGAAATCAAAATTACTCTCGATAGGCACGAATTTTCCTCAACTAAAAAAGAGAAGGTTACTAAACCCATGTTCACATGACTTTCCCGTCTTTTCTGTGACGTTTTTGGGCATTTTTGAGCATGCTCAAAAATTGCAAAGCCGAAGTAATTCTCTTTATTTGCTCTTAATTCTCAATCTTTTTTGTTATTGGAAAAGGCACTATAGCAAAGAGCATAGCTTTCTCTATCGAAAAATACTTTCAGAATTTTTTGGTGATCCTACTTGAAAAATGCCAATTTTGAGTAATTTTCTTCAATTCCTTCTAGCTTACCAACTTTTTTATGCCAATTCATGGAAAAAGTTTTGCTGTAAAGAATATGGTTTCCCCCTCTTAGACGAATATACGCAACGAGATCCATCAGATCGAAAGGAAGTTATGTTTTTTTAACTGGCGAACTAACTTTTGGTCCCACCTAATACTTTGAATCTGAAATTTTTTGAAAATATTTCAGTATTTACCAAGAGCTTGTAGGACTTTAAAAATCTCGGTGACCTCCCCCCCCCTTTGTTTTGATATATTTCTACCTAATCACTTCTGCTTTATTTAAATCCAGTGCATAGCTTCTACAAAATAATAGTTTTAAATCACTTGCGTTATTATTTGAAGCCAAGCATATAAAGTAAAGAAGTTCGACATACCTGAACAAGGGCGTTGTGCATAAAAGAAGTCCCTTCTTTGAGTCCTTTTCTAGCACTCCAGCAGCTTGGTGATGGTTGTTCACACACCTGCACCGATGCCTGCAAGAATGCTTAGAATATGGGTGAGTACAGGTTTACTTACTCCAACATTGAAGAACGAAAGGAAAAAGAGAAAGAAAAGAAAAGGAACAGAAGAGAAACAGTATGGAAGAAAAGAGTGCGCTATGCGCTGTCGATGTTGCGTTCGCTATTTCGCAACCGCGAATGCATGCGCTCCTCAAATCCTGCGGAATTGCTGGCAGGTCAAAGTGCTGCGGAAACCTTACGAGCCTCACTGCACTTTCGCAGCGCTTTATGTAAAGTGCTGCGGAAGTTCCGGTTTACGATCGCCGTGACTCAATTTCCTGCGAAAACCTCGCATTTTGGAACGT